GCGGGAGGGATGCGCAGAGCCTGGGGCTCCCAGCCGTGCTGCCGGCACCTCGGGCCGGGCTGGGGGGCCCTGTGCCCCCCAGGCAGACAGAACCAAGGTCCCGCTCCAGCCGCGCTCGCCCCGCGGACGCTACAGGGAGCATTTCTGCAGGCAGAAGCGAGATGCCAGCCCTTTGCCAGGTAGCTCAGGCCAGCACGCGGAGGGTTAATCCTCTGCCATTTGTGCTGCTAATGATTATATACACGGTAATATCAAAGCTGTAGCTGTTTATTTGCCATTGAGCAGGTGCTGCTGCTCCCACAAAGCAAATTTGCTTTCTCCTCCTGATGGAACAAGCAAAATAAAGGTTGCTCACGTCCCATTTCAAATACCTGTTTTTTCCCTGTGCGCTAGCTGAAAGAGAAACACCAAGCAGGAACCAGAATGCATATTATGCAAGAAACCGTATAATCTAGGAGCATCTTTGATTTGGCTGCTGCTGTCACAAACATGTATTTCACAGAGCGGCTTCCCCCCCCCCGCTTCTTTCGTTCTTACTGGTTTATCATTTGTGCCTTTGTCATTTTGTTCCTTCTTCTCTTCTCAGCCTCTTCACAATGAATCTTCATTTTCCCTCTGACACACTTGTATCTAAATTTCCTTATTTCCTGCCTTTTTTTATTTATATCTGTTGCCTGGTGATTTGATCATGCTGTGGAATACAGGATTAGCAATCTCCGTGTCCTTGGGTACTGCTCAAGGACACCTGTTCGGCAAAGCGCCGTTTTCTTCCCCATTTTAACCCCTTCCAGGGTGGCTGTGCGTGAGTAACAGTAAGAAATAACACTACCTTTAAATATTCCCAGTTCTGCATTAGCGGCATGTTGTAATCTTCATTCTTCAACAGCTGGCGTGGCCCTTTCTAAGAAGCTTACATGGGAATCTGAAGAATGTGACTCGGGGAAAAAAAAAATTATTAATATGTACTCTTTGAACTTTGCAAATAGTTGAGCAGCTGTTCCTGTAGAGATAGCTTAGACTTTGGTGGAGAGTGAAATGCTAATTCAGCCAGTATAATCAAATGGGGTACCTGTCGCAGTAATCCGCCCGCAGCTCCAGGTCCCTGCTTGAGGCTCGCAGAATCCCGTGCCTCAGTGGTATTTTTTTTCATTAGCAGATATAGACCAGCGTTGGCGGCATTACCCGGCAAGGTCTCAAAGGGCTGTCTGATTTGGCAGAAATTAGAAGAATTTGAGCACTAGACTGGAGCAAACTCTGCTCATTCACTAGGAAGGATTTTTCCCCATCACGGAGGCAGTGCTCACAGCCTGGTCCCAGCTCGTGCCGCCCGTCGGGGCTGCAGCCCGCTGCCCTCCTTCCATGGGGCCACCAGCCCCGCCACGGACAAGCTCTGCTCCAGAGCAGGTGACACCGGGCCCTGGGTGGCTGACCTCCGTCAGGGGGGTTTCACTGGGGTGATGAGCCTGGAAACTCTCTGGAGCATATTGAGAAGGCACCGGTGGGATTTGCTCTGCTCTGCCATGTGCCGTTATTCTCTTTCTGGGCACCTTCCCGTTGCCCACTGTGTTCTGGGGGAAAAGGATGCCGGTTTGGAGCCTGGTGATGATGGAGCATGGGGAACACTGCAAAGTGGCAGTTGCAGATGTCTCTGGAACCTGCTTCTTTTCATCAGGAAATCCAAAGCATGGAGTCGGTGTTTCCCTAGACCATGAAAACTCAGAGTAGAGGCACAAAGAAGTTTGTGAGCAATCTGTTGAGTGAACCTCAGGCTAAACCAGAGCTTCCCCTCCGAAGTGAGCAGAAGCAAAGTCGGACAAAATCAGCGTTTCCAGTTGAGTTTATGAGTCTGGGGACTCAATGGGGACACAAAGGTACTGGAGGGGAGTTCTCGTTTGTGATAGCCCTGCTTCACCAGGACCAGTTCAGTAATGCTGAGTGCCTCCATGGCCAAATGCATCTATGATTTTCCCATCCAAATGCAGAGCCTGGAGAATAACACAGTGTTCACACTCCAGGAATAAATTACCCAGCAGAAAAATTACACGCTCAGCAGAAAATAATAGATCACCCACCTAATCAGATCCATCTGCTCATTGAACCTGATACATCACCTGGTGACAGGGCACTGCATATATCTGCGGTGGGACAGAAGCATCTCAGGCCAGCTGTAAA